CATAAAATGTACACATCAAGAAGTAGATTCACATACCCAATATGTTCCAAAAAACATTTGCGTTTTCCAACAACAGAATCAAGTATCAGTTTTTAAATATATATTAAAATTAAATAATAATAAAAATTTAGCTCTTCACCTTCAAGTGCTCAATAGCCACATGTGCTAATCACTTCCATATTGGATAATGAAGCCCTACATTATAAAACAAGAGACTTAGGTAATTGCTGAACAAATGAACAAGTCTAAGCTTACCCCACAGCCTTGGTTTCCTAACTCTCAATCTCTTCCATATTAACAAATCTCTTTTTGCAATTTCTTGAGAAACTACAACTTGCTTTATGAACTAATGGAAACACTAATAACACTTAGGCTGTTGCACAAGCCATAACATGAAGTTAAGAATTTAATCTCCCACCATTCTTTGATAGTTTTTGAGCAGCACATCTCTTTTAGGCCTTAGAATGTTTTTTGTTTTTTTCCTTTTTCTTCACCAATACTTACCCTTCTGCACAAACAAACAAAACCAAAACAACTCAAATGATATTAACTACCAAATCAAAGCATTGCATACTTTTTAAAGGCTTACAAGGTGTTAGACAATTTAGATTGAGAAATGACTGAGAAGTGGAGACTATTTTGTAATTCTGAACTATGGGCACGTTTAAACAATATATTTAGTAATGACACAGGCAGAAATATAAATCTTGGTAGAGTCCTAATGATAATATTTTTTATTAATTTATAGGTTTACTTATAACCTTACTTTATACACTTAATCCATTCTAATCAAATAAAATACTTTTCAGAAATGTTTTCACGATTTAGGTGATAAACCAGCTAGAATATCAGAGTTCCTCACCTTTAATCCCAAAGTCTTAACTTTTCTTGCTGAAGCAGGCAGGGTAGTATCTCTGTCAACATTAAGATTTTGTTGAGATTCTACAATAAAATAAATTGTACAGATCTTGGTTGGTGCTTACATGTTGAAACACAGACAAAATCCATTTCCAAATTTCTTATTGTAATTATTAGTGAAGTAATATAAAGTTCATTTCTTGATTGTACATGTCCAAATAATTAGTTGCACAACAGTATTTTCACATCCAACACTTTTCTGATTTTCTTGATATTCCCTGACAGAAGGTTAAGGTAATTACCAAAAGGGAAACTATATATTTACATGAGTATCTTGCTTAATTTTTCTGGTTATACAATAGTGAAATGATTAAAGCATTATTCTGTAGTTGACTCATTTGTAAATTCATCAAATAAGAAAATTTAAATATAACTGTAGTTTCACCTTTTTAGAAATAGTATAGAATCTTCTAATTTAAATGCTGTTAGTCATAACTTTAAAACTTATGAAATCACATAACCATTATTTTATTTTGGAATCCATTACCTTTTTGTTTTTTAAATCTTTGTGATTTCTGAAAGGATACTGGTCCTTTCAGTACTTCTGACGTTTTAACATCATAAGCACCTGGAGACGGCGCACAACCTAAAGGAAACATAGCACATTAATGTCTCATCTAATGTAATTTATGATCTTAAGTTAAAAACATGTCATAATAAAGTAATACAAATGCAAAATACCATTAATAAATTGTTTATTTTTTTCAAATGTAAAAATAGCATCCATTTGATAGTACAAAAACAGGCCTCTCTATGGAAAACACCATTATCTTCCCCAAATGCTCTTAATTTCAATGAGTCAAAGAAACAGGCAACTGAACAAAACAGCGAAGACTGTCTTGAGATAAACATCATTAAAAAAAGCAACATGGCTTTGTATTAAGGATTGAATATAAGAAAAAAATATTTGGAATCAACTCTACTCAAAGAGAGTCACTGAGGTAACTACCATCAGATTCTAGAAATGAAGCAACTAAAAGTCTAGCCCTCAAGGTTTAGTATGGAATAAAAATTTATAGTGATAATTCATCTCTGGCTAATACTGACATATCAGGAAATTTATAAAGTCATGTTATACATACTACAAACTGTACTAGACAATATATATTTTTTAAATTTTATTTATTTGACAGAGAGAGAGAGAGAACGCACAAGCAGGGGAAGCAGCAGGCAGAGGGGGAAGAAGCAGGCTCCAGGCTGAGCAGGGACCCTGACAAGGGGCTTGACCCCAGGACCCTGGGATCATGACCTGAGCAGAAGGCAGCCACTTAACTGACTGAGCCACCCAGGCACCCCTGTACTAGACAATATTTCTATGATCCAGAAATTTATACAGTATAACCTCACTTAACTAGAGTCTCAAACTGACGGCACTTCAGAGTGTTTATGCATAGTCGACTTGAGATCTCATTCTCAGGACAATCATTAGCATAAGGGGAGCCTGGCTGGCTCAGTTGGTACAGCCTGTGACTCTCGATCTCAGGGTATGAGTTCAAGCCCCACACTGGGCGTAAAGCCTACTTAAACAAAAGGGTAAAAATATCATTAGCATAAAGCTTTAACCGACTGAGAATCAGTAGATTCATACTATTCTCTGAAAAGCTATTTACTTCAGCATAGAGTTTCATGCAAATAAAGAGGAACTTCAAGGAGTTTGACCATTTCAAGGCAACTCCGGCTATCCCTTAAGTGTTTTTTAAATGGAATGATAGATAAGAACTTGTTGGTACATCTTGACTAGCATTAAAAAAAGTGAAACACAATAGAAAATATCAGTGTGACTCAAATGTAGCAAAGTTAAGCACTGTTTTGTGAGACTTTTTGTTTCAGTGATAGCTGTAGAAATATAAAAAAACGTATCCTGGATAGAGAGATACACAATTTATTTCTCATTCTGGGACACAATTTAAAAGTATTAAAGTCACTCCTTTCATCAATTCTAAGAGGTTATAAAAACATCAAGGAGGGAATGAAGTTTCCATTCCTCTACCTGGAATAATGATAACAAAAATAATGACACAAAAATTCCAATCCTGGGAGCTTTTTGACCTAAATATGGTCAATAAGGAATTGAGATAGTGGATTTCTAATCAGAAGAGAGTTTCAAATTGAAATACAGAATTCAGTGGGGTATCTAAGATAAAGGCAGACTTAGCAAAAAACATTAATCTTGGCTAGCTCAAATCTCTCACTTTACAAACTGTTTATAACCTGGGGTGAATAGGAGGCTGGCGAGGTTTCCCTAAAATCAGCTTAACAATGGCACGTCTTAGAGCACCTATTCTACTCATTTGGGATAGGGGCTGAGGCAGGCAGTGGGGAACATTTTATGTTTCAAAGCAAATGAGAGACTTTCACCATTACTGTTAGCTATGTCTTTTGGGGGAAGAGAGGATGAGGGTATGCAGAGCCTATGGTTATTGTGTGCTCTCTCCTTTTATTTATTTATTTTTATTTATTTATTTGTTAGTTAAGCTCTAGGCCCAATTTATTTATTTATTTATTTATTTATTTAGTTAGTTAGTTAGTTAGTTAGTTAGTTAAGCTCTAGGCCCAACATGGGGCTTGAACTCACAATCCGGAGATCAAGACTCACATGTTCTACCTACTGAGCCAGCCAGGCGCCCAGCTCTCTTCTTTTAGGAATGCTTCTGTGGAAAAGCATGAGAAGTGCCAGTCTAGACTTGTCAGAGCAGCCAGAAAATAAAATGATGTTGAAATCTTATATTCTGGTTCATCATTAGGTTTACACTCTCCCAAAATGGGATATGGGCCAGCAAATGATGGGATGGTGGACAGTGATAAAGCAGCATCATCAAAGTTGAGAACAATTAAAACCATACTTAACAAAAACTTCCTTAAAGACTAAAGAATCAAATTTGGTTGTTAGATTTAGGATTTTGATTGAAGAACTAGGTTGAAATCCAGCCTGTATACCTACTAGACCTTTGTGAAACTGTAGTATACGTTATTTTCATGCTCCAGGTCTTTTCCTTTACTGCCTTTACCAATCATCCTTCTTTTTTTTTTTTTTTAAGATTTTATTTATTTATTTGAGAGAGAGAGAATGAGAGAGAGAGAACACATGAGAGGGGGGAGGGTCAGAGGCAGAAGCAGGCTCCCTGCCGAGCAGGGAGCCCGATGCGGGACTCGATCCCGGGACTCCAGGATCATGACCTGAGCCGAAGGCAGTCGCTTAACCAACTGAGCCACCCAGGCGCCCCGCAATCATCCTTCTTTTATTCCTGAATGGAATATCCAAAAGAAAACCACAAGTTCATACGAAAAGCCACAGGTCAATTTTTTTTTTTTTTTTTATCAGTGAGGCCTTCCGCACTCGACCATCAAAGAGCTACTAACAGTTTCCTTATTCTGATTCCCTTCTCTCTGCTTTAGTTTCTCCACAGTACTGTTTATTGGCTGCATTCTCCACTTGAATGTAAACTCCACGAGGCAGGGGCTTTGCTTCATTCACTGCTGTATCCTTATCACTCTGAATAGCACTAGGAATGTAGCAAATGTTTAGTATAGATTTTAGAAAAACCAATCAATTGAATGAGACCCATCGCAGCCCTAAAATTGCCTATTAGCCTCCTATGAAACGAACCAAAAGGGGCAAAGTGCGTGACAACATATCCCGACCCCCAGCTCCTTTCCCCGTACGCACCGGAAGGGTCATTGAATCGTTTCAGAGGCGCCTTAGGAAAAGACATGTTGACGACCAGCTCCACAAACTGAAGGTCACTAGCTCTCCTCCCAACTTCCTGCCGCTTATTACAGCCTACTCACTGGAAATTCAAACCTCCCGGCTTATTCCCCGCCCACCTCTAACGTCAGCAGATTTGAAACCAAAATCCTGGGCACACCAATCCAGGACGGGAACATCTAAAGAGCATGCGCACCTAACCTCGACGCGTCCAATTAGGGCTTCTTTGCGTTTAGGTTACCAGCCAATAGGAAACTGTTATTGCCTCCTTCCTCCTCCACTCCCACCCCGTGTCCAATCATTCCTGGCGTTACTCAATTGTAACTTACATACTAGCAACATTTGCGCAAGCGCATTTCATAACAGCAGTTTGGAAAGTCCGCTTTTGGCGTCATATAGGTGGCTGTGCAGTGAGTTCTAGTTTCACTGTTTCCAACCTCCGACCCTTCCTTGGGTGTAAACTTCCCCGGATTTCAGTTCTTTCAGACTGGGTACTGCCAGGGCCCTAAATGGCCATTGAAAAGGAAAAAGGAACAGGCTGAGACATCAGCCTACGTCCCTGCGCATGTGCAGTGACCTGAGCGGAGAGTCCCGGGCGTGGCCTGAGCGTGGAGATTTCGCGCGTGCGCTGGTCTCGCTCCGTGCGGCTGCAGCTGGGAGGCTACTGGAGTATGTCGGCCCCGTTTGAGGAGCGCAGTGGGGTGGTTCCGTGCGGGACGCCGTGGGGCCAGTGGTACCAGACCTTGGAGGAGGTGTTCATTGAAGTTCAGGTGCCGCCTGGCACTCGCGCCCAGGATATCCAGTGCGGCCTGCAGAGCCGGCATGTGGCGCTGGCCGTGGGTGGCCGCGAGATCCTCAAGGTAGCGGCAGGTCTGGGCTTGTGCTCAGCTTCTTCCCGGCCTCTAAGTCCCAGAATCCCAAGGCTCATGGTTTCCGTGAAGAGACTGTTGGGAGGCCGAATGGCTCCTTTGGCCGAAAGAGCGCTATCATTGGCCTGGTCTGGTCGGAGCGCCCCACTCTCACGGCTAGTCCTGAGTTGACGTAGAGATTTGAGGAGTCCGGTTTTCTGGCTTTATTTCTAAACCAAATGAAGCTAATGCTTTTGTTCCTCTGCCGGTCTTCAGTTAGATATTTAAAGGAACAAATATTTATTGTGCATATATTTCTTCCAGGCACTGATGAGGTGTTGAGAGGTCAATGGGGAACAAGACAGAAGTTTCCTGCACTCAGATGGGTTATGTTCTTGCAGGGAGGCATAATAAAGCTAAACTAATAAATGTTCAGGCAGTTATAGAACAGTAAAGAAGAAAATAAAGGATAAGGATATCGGGATGAGGATTCAGAGATGATGTCAGGTGATTTATTTTTTCATCAAACAGAAAAATTCTGCATGTTTGTGGAGTGGTTAAGCAGGTAGTCGAGAGTTGTTTGAAGAAAATAATACCCCTTTTATTCTCATCATGTCCGTTGGATCTGGGAGCCGCTTTTTCCTTGATAAGCTTTATAGTTAAATTCAGTTACTTTGAAGTTAGATTTCTTTCCCAGATTAGATGCTCAAGATGTTTGATGACAGTGTAATGAAGTGGTGAAGGGAGATTCCTTATTGTAGGATACCTGACTATGCCATTTTTATAATTTTGTAACCTTGGGCAAGAGATTATTCAGTGTCTCTATGCCTTCACCCACAAAGTATGGTAATTGTAGTAACTTTCTGATAGGATTGTTTTGAGCCTAACATGGTACCCAGGGGAATTAAGAGCTTGGAATTGTGTCTAGTATGTAACGAGGGTACACTACATGTTAGCTATTATTTATATGGAAATGTTCTAAGTGCCTCAGAGAAAAGAAAGATTCATGTGAAAGACATTGATTTACATCAGCTTGGATCTTACTGAGTTTTCTGGATAGTTGTATAATTCATAGTTTCCTGAACAGTGGTTTAAGATTACAATTCATATTTCCTTTAGTAATTCCAATGACTTTGGGAATTTAACAGTAACTTTAACTTTAGGATTTTAGGTATGCATTTAGACCCGTAGAGTTTTTTCTCACTATTATTGACATACTGAAAAAATGTTTTCTCTTTTTACGTGACCTTTTAATTTCATTTCCTAAAACTTAAATTTGACAAGTAGCAACAAATCAAAATGGATTTGAGCAGGTGCATTCTCTTTTAAACTTATGTTTGCTGATTTCTTTCTTAAAAGAACAGTTTCTGAAAAATCAGTCACAGCTAATCTGTATCAGAACTATATAGTACGTGCTTTACAATTTTTTTGATGCTACATTGCCCAACAAAGAGATTGAACCTTTTTTTTTTTAATTTAAAGATTTTATTGATTTATTTGACAGAAAGTGAGAGAGGGAACACAAGCAGGGGGAGTGGGAGAGAGAGAAGCAGGCTTCCCGCGGACCAGGGAGCCCGATGCAGGGCTCGATCCCAGGACCCTGAGATCATGACATGAGCCAAAGGCAGACGCTTAACGACTGTGCCACCCAGGTGCCCCTGAACCAGTTTTTTAAAGTTTATTTTAAGAGATAATCATTTTTTAATTTCAGCAGGAAAGCTCTTCTTGTAGTTCATTTCAACTGGTAAAGATAAAGCATTTCAGATATTAATTTCACATTTGGCTCAGTGATCAGTAATATTTATTCATCTTCTAAAATATGGAGCCCTGATCTTTCTTTAGAGAGCCCTGTGTTCTTTGTCATAATAAATATTTCAAGCAATGTAAACTAGGTTCCATTTCACTTTCTAGGAGGAAAGATAGGGTTGAGCACCTACCAATATGTTGAAATGGTATAGGGGCGCCTGGGTGGCTCAGTCATTAAGTGTCTGCCTTCGGCTCAGGTCATGATCCCAGGGTCCTGGGATCGAGCCCCGCATCGGGCTCCCTGCTCGGTGGGAAGCCTGCTTCTCCCTCTCCCACTCCCCCTGCTTGTGTTCCCTCTCTCGCTGTGTCTCTCTCTGTCAAATAAAATCTTAAAAAAAAAAAAAAAAGGGTATAAAATTTTATCTCCTTACTATAACCAAACTAGACAATTACATGTGGATTAGATAGGAAATTAGGAAAGTCTTAAATCATGAAAGCATTATAAAAATTAATGAAATATGATTTTAGTACCTTATATGTTTATTTTTCAGGGCAAGCTCTTTGATTCTACAATAGCTGATGAGGGAACATGGACTTTGGGTAAGGGTAATCTATAATTCTTGGAATCTTTTTTTAAAAATTATTTTTGTCTTGGAACTTAGTATGTTTCCCTCTGTTGTATTAGGTCCTTTGTCTTTGCAGCTTTGGAAGAGAATAGTGATAGAAATGCGTTGAAAATAATTGTATGTCAAGATTACCTAATGATTTTTGAAAATATAAAATTTAATGATGAACTCTAATATATTTGTGATTTTTGTTTGTTTAGAGGACAGAAAAATGGTCCGTATTGTTCTTACAAAGACAAAGAGAGATGCGGCAAATTGTTGGACTTCTCTTCTAGAATCTGAATATGCAGCTGATCCTTGGGTGCAAGACCAAATGCAGAGAAAACTTACATTAGAGAGATTCCAGAAAGAAGTAAGTCAGATGAATGTATGAATATGTATTGTTAAACATCTTAAAATCATAGAATGATTATTATTTGAAATTAAAACTTAAATGTGGTTACAAAAAATTACAAAAGTTCTTTAGAGGATTTTTTTTTTTTAAGTTAAATCATTAGAAAAATGACTGGTCTTTCTTTGTGTGGGTTTTATTTTTTCAAATTTTCTGTAGAGGAATTTATTTGTACTGTCATGTTTTCTAAGTTTAAATTTGTTTACACCAATAATGCATAGATGAACTCATAAAAATTCAATCAATATAGACTTACACGGTGTAAAAAGGTGGAAAGTTCCTTTCATCGACATCTCTCCATTCTGTGCATCTGTCTCATTCTTATCTCATTGATGTATTGGTTTGCTACTTTGTTTTTAACATAAATTCAGGATCACACTATGTGTATTGTTCATGTTGTTTTTTTCATTTAATAATACATCTTGGATCTCTTCCTACCAGTACGTATAGATAAAACTTGTTCCTTTTAACTACTTCAGAGGGTTTTCTAGTTTGAATATATCAACATTATTTCTTTAGCTATTCCCTTTTGATAAGATTTGGATTTTTTGATTTGTGTCTATTTCAAACAAAATTTGTGCTTTCATCTCTGTAAAACTATTCCAATGTTCTGTTAATTTATCTAGGAGAAGAATTACTAGATCAAAGCACTGTTAAAGTTTTGATGGATAATTTCTTTCTATATGGTGATGGTTTCCAAATATGTGTCTCTAGTTTAGACTTTTTCCCCAATTTTGGAGTCACATTTCCAATTCAGTATCTTCACTTGACAGTCTGACAGATATATCAGACTCAACATATTCAACATGAACTCCCTAACTTCTTCCCACACGTGTTCTACCTCTAGTCTTCTCATCTTGGTTGATGGAAACTACTTGATCAGACCAAAGAACAAAAATGGGATATCATCCTCCACTCCTGTCTCTCTCTCACACACCCTGTCCAATTTGTTAGGAAACCTTACTGGTACTACCTTCCAAATATATTCAGAATTTGTCCACTTCTCACCACCAACTCTACTACCACTTTGATCTGGACCATCTGTATTGTCTTGCCTAGATTACTCCAATAACCTTCTAATTGTTCTCTTTTACCCTTGCCAAGCTACAGTGTTCTCAAAATAGCATAGTAGTCCTTTTAAAATGCAGGTCAGAACACATCGCTTCTCTTCTCAGAACTCTTTCATTCTATCCGATCTGGTCCTCAGTTATCTCCCTGACTTCTTCTCCTACTAATCTCCCCTTCAGTCATTCTGCTCTAGCCATACTTTTTGTTATTTTTGAACATTCCACGCCATTCCTTTTCTGTCCTTTTGACTACAGGGTTCTTCTCCCAAAGCTTGGCTAACTTCTTCACTGTTTTCAAGTCATTGCTCAATAAAGTATACTTTATCTTTGGTCATCCTATTTAAATACTATAATCTTCTCATTTCCCTTACTCTGCCTTGCTTTTCTTTCTTCTTTCTTTCTTTTTTTTCTGTAGCACTTGCACCAACTTTTAACACTGGATCAGGGGCTCACAAACTATGGCCCACAGAGGAAATCTGGCCCGCTGCCTGTTTTTGAAGTAAAGTTATATTGGAATACACCTATGCTCGTTCATTTGTATGTTGTCTTTCTTATACCATCTCCAGACTTAAGGAGTTACGAGACTATATGGCCTTCAAAGACTGAAATATCTAACTACTTGGCTCTTTACAGAAAACTTTGCCAACCTCTACATTAGATAACTTGCAGTTTATTATTTGTGTCCTCCTCTAAGAATGTCAGCTCCACCAGTGCAGGGATCTTTGTTTTGTTCACTTTTGAATTCCACGTGCCTCTAGTAGTGTCTTCCAAACAGTAGGAACTCAGTAAATGTTTGTTGAATAAATGAAATGCCCTCCAAAAAGACTAAAGCATGAGATAGTACTTCCTAGGATTGTTATGAGGATTGAATATGTTGATAAAGTTGAATATGCTCTTAGAACCCTGCCTGGCATGTAGTAAACTCTCAAACGATGATAGTTATTAAAACCTGTTTTCACACTCATACTGAAGTATATGTTTGCCCATACACTTGTCAACTTGTAATATACATATCGATCTTCTAAATATTGTAGATCTGAAAATTGAGATATACCTCCTAGTTTTAAGTTCTGTTTTGGTGATTACATCTTTTGACATGTTTATTGGCCATTTGGATTTCCTGTTGTGTCACTTGCTAGTTTATATCTTTACGATTTCCCTTTGAGTTATATTTTGAGTTATATCTTATATTTTTCCTTGTAAGATTTATCATAATTTTTTTCATGTCTTTTAGAATCCTGGTTTTGACTTCAGTGGAGCAGAAATCTCAGGAAACTACACTAAAGGTGGACCAGACTTCTCAAATCTTGAGAAATAACTACTACTTTTTTTTTTTTTTGCTACATTCTGTGGATCCCAGCAGATGTTGCCAACTTAAAGGAACAGATTATGTGGTGGAAGGAAAATGTGGATACCTGCAGTTAACAAATTGCAAAATATATTTAACTGTGGTTCTAAAAATTGCATTCAAATATCATTTACATAGGAAACATCTTATATACTGTGGAAACTATTCTACTGATATAGAGTAACTTTTTTTTGGACTTGTTTTTTTGCTCAGCATGAAGTTTTATATGCTGCATTTTACTAATTTCAGATTTAACCTGTATTTTTAATACAAAAAACATTAGGGTATAGATCATGTGAAATGACCGGTGCCTTCAGGGACAATTAAATTTTTCTTTCAATAAGTGTAATGCAGGAATAATGTTCAATAAACTTTTCTAAATAGGAATCGTGTACCCCTTTCTGTAAGTATGCCAGTACACACAAGGAATTATATTACTGAAAAAAGTTTTGAGAGAGGAAAAAGTCCACAAATACATTATACTGAGTAAGTTCATTTTAAGAGTTAATGAAAATTTCTGAAGTAATATATTATTCCTTGGGAGATGACTTTGTCAAGAAATTGAAAAATAGAGACTTAACAATAGGAATGGATTAATACAAAACAAGCAGTGACGTGAATGTGATCATTGGGTGAGTCCTTTGTCAGTGACAAAAAGCAAATAATGGTTAATGTTTATAAGTCAGGGACATAATTTTGCTCTTCAGTGATCTAGACATATAAGGAAGGATTATCTTAAAATTTTATTTCATTCTTTTTATGTCCTTTGGAATTTTCAAATATCTCTCTACATTTTTTAAAAATTTAATCTTTACACCCAGTGTGGGACTTGAACCCGCAACTCTGACATCAAGAGTTGCACACCCCACCAACTGAGCCAGCCAGGTGCCCCTAAAAATTATTTTTAACAATCCCAAATGTATAGCAAAGTTACATGTAAAGTACAAAGAACTGTTTTCTTCCTGAACTGTTTGTAAGTTTATGATATGACGCTGCATCATCTGTAAGTACCTTAGTGTGTATTTCCTTCAAAGGACATGCTCTTATATCACTACAATACAACCATATGATCAGGAAATTAGCATTGATACGTTATGACCATCTAATCCTCAGATCTTTATTGCATTCAAGTTTAACTGATTGTCCCAATAATGTTCTGTATAGCAAAAGGATCCAGTCACAATCATGCCTTCCCTTTAGATTAAATGTCCGGTGTCTGGTCTACTTCAGTCTGGAACAAGTCTTCATTTTTTCTTGACTTTTACAACCTTGGCACTTTTGAATATTACAGGCTAATTTTGTACAACAGCCCTCATTGTGAGTTTTGTCTGATACTTCTTCATGATTAGATTCAGGTTATACATCTTTGGCAGGGATGTTACAGAAGTGATGCTGTGTTCTTTTTATTTTTTTTTTTAAAGATTTTATTTGACAGAGAGACAGCTAGAGAGGGAACATAAGCAGGGGGAGTGGGAGAGGGAGAAGCAGGCTCCCCGCTGAGCAGGGAGCCCGATGCCGGGCTCGATCCCAGGACTCTGGGATCACGACCTGAGCAGAAGGCAGACACTTAACGACTGAGCCACCCAGGTGCCCCGTGATGCTGTGTTCTTATTGCATCCTATCGTGAGTTTGTAATTTTGATTTGTCCTTTTTCTGTTGGTGTTTACTTATATCACTGAATAAGTGGTGTCTGTCAGTCTTCTCCACAGTAAAGCTATTCTTTGTAGGTTTATAATTATTTTGTGGGATGGTAGCTTCAGCGTACTACTCTGTTTCTCATCAAACTTCCAACTTATTTATATCTTTATTGATTCATGATTTTCTATTTTATTCAGTGGGTTAAAATCTATTACTTGTATTACTCTGATGCTTACAATTTTTCTTGATTTGGCTAGGGGAAAACCCTTTTAGGTGGCTTCCATGTCCTGTTGACCTGTCCCATCATTATTTGAGTAAGTTCTTATTTTCTGGCACAAGTTGATACTAGGCTTATGCTTTCCCTGCCCTAGGTCAAGAATAAGCCACGTTTTTAAGGTCTCCTGCTTCTCTTAGATGGAAAATGGTATTTAGAAACCAAGATTTGGGGGCGCCTGGAGAAGCCTGCTTCTCCCTCTCCCACTCCCCCTGCTTGTATTCCCTCTCTCGCTGTGTCTCTCTCTGTCAAATAAATCAATAAAATCTTAAAAAAAAAAAAAAAGAAACCAAGATTTGTGTGCTAGTGAGCAATTGCTATTGGGTGTGTATAGTGCTTATATGTACAGCTGTGTTTATTTCTATATATTGAAAACCATGAGTTTACACTTAAACTTTCATGTCTAATCCCATGGGGTTCAATTTTCTTTTCTCCCTTTCTATATTTATAACAACAGTGAAAAGTCTGATTTCTATTATCCTCAATATATTTGATTGCCTATTCTAGGTCATCTCACATGATTGCCTTCCTTACTCTGCTCAGGCTCCAACACCCTGCGGCAAACAGGGATATCCTCACCTGCTTGGACCTGAACACACCCCGTTGTGGGCCACTGAATCCCTGCCATACTCTTTGGCAAAGAGGCTATCTTGTTCACTTTAACCAATAACTTCAGGAATAAATTGTTGGGGAAGAGCCTTTTTTAATTGGCTTCTCGACTTTCAAAGAAACTCATATTTTGAATAAGCACAGTAAAGTTAACTCTTCTGTTCATAGTTTTGTGAATTTTTAGCATGTAGATTCTGTTCATAGTTTTGTGACTTTTAACATGTAGAGGTATCTGTAAGCACCTTCAAAATCAGGAGATTGAACAGTTAAGTTTTTTTTTTTTTTTTTTTAAGTGAACTCTCTACCCCACATTGGGCTCAAACTCATGACCCTGAGATCAAGCATTGCATGCTCTTACCAGCTGAGCCAGCCAGGCGCCCCAAGAGATTTAATAGTTTAATCACTACAAAAACTTAAAATACTCTCTCTTTGTAGTCATAGCCTCAAACCCTGGAAACCACTGATTAAGACTGTCTTTATAGTTTTGTCTTTTCAAGAATGTTCATCAGTGGAATCATATGTAATCTTTTTTTCTTAAAGGTTTATTTATCCACTCTGGAGAGAGAGAGGGCGGGGAGGCAGGGCGGAGGGGCAGAGGGAGAGAATCCCTAAGCGGACTCCCCGTCAAGCACGGAGCCCGCTGTGGGGCTCAATCCCTTGACCCATGGGACGCTACCTGAGCGGAAACCAAGAGTCAGATGCCCAACCGACTGAGCCACCCAGGCACCCTATAATGTTTTTTATTTATTTTTATTTTTATTTTTTTTAAAAGATTTTATTATTTATTTGACAGAGACACAGCGAGAGAGGGAACACAAGCAGGGGGTGTGGGAGAGGGAGAAGCAGGCTCCACGCAGAGCAGGGAGCCCGATGTGGGACTCGATCCCAGGACCCTGGGATCATGACCTGAGCCGAAGGCAGTCGCTTAACCGACTGAGCCACCCAGGCGCCCTATAATGTTTTTTAAAAAACAGATTTATTGAGATGTAATTCACATACCATACATTTTACCAATTTAAAATATATAATTCAGTGATTTTTAGTATAGTCATCTATTAAACCATCACCATAGTCAGTTTTCATTTTCATCACCTCAAGAAACCCCGTACCTTTTAGCTTTCAACTCCCTCTCCCTCTACCCCCAACCAAGTGACCACTAATTTGTTTTCTATCATAAATTTCTCTCTTCTGGACATTTCATATACATTGAATCATAATGTGGTCTTTTGTTACTGGCTGCTTTCACTTAGCACATGTTTTAGTGGTTCATTCATGTTCTAGTATGTCACTATTTCAGTCTTTCTGTATGACTGGATAATATTCCATTGTATATTTGCCACACATTAATCCATTTGTCATTTGATGGACATTTGGGAGGTTTCTGCCTTTTGGCTATTATGAATAATGCTGCTATAAACATTCAAGTAGGGGCACCTGGGTGACTCAGTTGGTTAAGCATCTGCCTTCGGCTCAGGTCATGATCTTGAAGTCCCTGGATGGAGCCCCAAGTTGATCTCTGCTCAGCGGGGAGCCTGCTTCTCCATCTCTCTCCCTGCCCCTGCCCCCCGTGCACCTGTGTGCGTGCTCTGTCTCTCAAATAAATAAATAAAATCTTTAAAAAAAATAAACATTCAAGTACAAGGTTTTTTTTTTTTTTAAGATTTATTTATTTGACAGAGAGACACAGTGAGAGAGGGAACACAAGCAGGGGGAGTGGGAGAGGGAGAAGCAGGCTTCCTGCTGAGCAGGGAGCCCGATGTGGGGCTCTATCCCAGGACCTTGGGATCATGACCTGAGCCGAAGGCAGGTGCTTAACGACTGAGCCACCCAGGCGCCCCTCAAGTACAAGTTTTTATGTGTATGTATATTTTTATTTCTTACCTAGGAATAGAATTTCGAGTTATATGGAAACTATGTCTAATCATTTGAGGAATTTCTAGATTGTTTTCCAAAGTGGCTATACCATTTTACATTCCCACCATTAGTGTATGAAGTTTCTAATACCTCCACATCTTTGCCAACACTTGTTACATGATTTTTAAAATTTTAGCCATTCTAGTGGATATGAAGTGGTATCACACTGTGGTTTTGTGTTTCCCTGATGACTAATTATGTTGAGCATCTTTCCTTGTGCTTATTGACCATTTATGTATCTTCCTCGGAGAAATGTTTATTCAAATCCTTTGCCCATTTTTTATTGGGTTATCTATTACTGAGTTGTAAGAGTTCTTTATATATTCTGTACACAAGTCTCATATATATTAGTTGCATATATTTTCTTCTATTGTGTAGGTTTTTTTCATTTTCTTTTTTTTAAAAGATTTTATTTATTTTTTAGAGAGTGAGCGAGAGAGAAACAGCATGAAAGGGGAGAGGGTCAGAGGGAGAAGCAGGCTCTCCGCCGAGCTGGGAGCCCGATGTGGGACTCGATCCCAGGACCCTGGGATCATGACCTGAGCCAAAGGCAGACGCTTAACCATCTGAGCCACCCTGGCACCCTTTTTCATTTTCTTGATGGTGTCTTTTAAAACATGAATGTTTTAAATTTTGATGTATTCTAGTTCATCATGCTTTTGGTGGACCATGCTTTTGGTATCATATCTAAGAACTCTGTGTAACCCCAGGTTATGAGGATTTTTTCCAATGTTTTCTTCCAAAAGTTTTACTATTGTATGTTTTACATTTAGATCTATGACCTATTTTAAGTAATTTTTTGTGTAAGCTGTGTAATATAGGTGGAACTTCATTTTTTTGCATGTGGATATCTACTTGTTTCAAAATAATTTGTTGAAAAGACTGTCCATTCTTCATTAAATTGCTTTTGCATTTTTGTCAAAAATCAATTGCTGTTTATATGGGTATGTTTTTGATCTTTCTGTTCTATTTCATTGATCCATGTGTCTGTCCCTTCACAAATACCACAATGCCTTGATAACTGTAGCTTTATGGTAAGTCTTAAAATTGGGCAGCATGATTTCTTCAACTTAATTCTTCTTCAAAATTGTTTTAGCTGTTTAACTTTGTCTTTCTGTGTAAAGCTTAGAATCAGCTATATTCAGTCTGTATCACAAAAAGTCCTGCTAGGATTTTCGCTGGAATAGTGTAAATCTTCCAGTCCTTGAACATGGGGCATCTCTCCATTTAGTATCTCTTTGATTTTAGTCATGAGCATTTTGTGATTTTCAGCTTATAGAATATTTACATCTTTTCTTAGATTTATTCCTAAGTGTTCATTTTCTGGAGCTGTCGTAAATGATATATTTTTTGAAATTTGTTTCCAGTTGTACATAGCTAGTAACAGAAATGTTTGATTTTTGTTTGTTGACCTTGTATCCTGTGACCTTCCTAAACTTGCTTATTCTAGGAGTTTTTTGTTATGAATTCCTGGGATTTTCTTCAGAAACCACAAACGGGGTTTTATTTAGTCTATACTACTCCATAGATCTTTATTTTTTTCTTGCTTCATTGCACTTGCTAGAAAGCTAGAAGTGGTGGGGGTGGCTGTCCTTGTCTTGTCTGGTTTTCAAATTTTGATTTGATTGATTCTCAAATTTTGAACCTGCTTATATTTTCACACATGCCAGACTTGGTCATGGCATGTTACTGCCGTTTACGTTTTTGGATTTGTTTGTTGAAGATTTTCGTGTCTGTTCATTTGAGCTATTGGTCTCATCATTGAGATTTTGTGTTATCTTTATCTTGGTTTGGTACCAGGGTAATGCTAGCCTTTTAAAATGAATTGGAAAGTGATTCTTCTACTTTCTAGAAGAGATGTGTAGAATTTGTGTTGTTTTCTTTCAGCATTTTATGGGATTTGCCAGTAAGATTTTAAACAACAAATCCAGTTTTTAAAAACAACTTACTCAGGTTATCTAGTTTATTTTGTTTTAGTTTGGTTTATTTTGTTAAGTTCTGGTAGTTCTTTTCTTTCAAGGGATGGATTCATTTAACTTGATGTGCATAGTTGTATGTATTGTTTCTTCAGTGTCCTTTTAACATAGTGTTATCTCTTTCAGTCCTGATACTGGTAATTTCTTTTTTTGTCATTCTTGCTGGAGATTCATCAATTTTATTGCTTTTTTCAAAGAATTAATTTTTTATTTTGTTGATTTTCCTTATTTTCAGTTTCACTGATTTTTAAACCCCCTTTTTTTAATGACCTTTTCCCATCTGCTTGCTTTGTGGGTTTATTCTGCTCTTTTTCTAGTTTCTTTTTGTGGAAGCTTTGAGACTTTTTTTCTTAATAAAAGCCAATTAATGTGAATTACTCTAAGCACTGGTTTAGCTACATTTCCTATATTTTGATATTTTCATTCAGTTCAAATTATTTTGCTCTTTAGAATTTCCCTTAGGGAAAAAAAAAAAAGAATTTCCCTTAGAGCCCTAAATTATTCAGAACTCTGTTATTTCCAAGTGTTTGTAGATTTCCCTGTTACCTGGTATTTCTAGTTTATGATCAGAGAACATACTTTATAATTTTAGTTCTTTTAAATTTCTTCAGGGTTTTTTGTGACCCAGGATATAGTCTGTCTTGGTGAATATTCCCTGTGTATTTTAAAAGAATGCTTATTCTGTTGTTTTAGGATGAAATTTTTTGTCAAGTAGATCCACTTGGTTATTGGTATTACTCAATTTTTCTATGTTCTTGCTGATTTCTTAGTAGTTCTGTAGATGACTGAGAAGAGTGTTTAAATCTCCAACTGTAGTTGAAACTTTGTCCATTTTTCTTTCCAATGCGCTTCTTGTATTTGAAGTTCTGATGTTAGGTGCCTACAAATTTAGGATTGTCCAGTCTTCTTGGTAAATTGATTCTTTTATCATTATTTAATGATCCCTTTTTAATCCTGATCATTTTACTTGCTCCAAAATCTACTTTGTCAAATTAATGTAAAACATCGACTTTTATTTTTCTTTGGGATTTTATTTTATTTTTTTACAGATTCTCTACCCCCATTGTGGGACTCAAACGACCCTGAGATCATGAATTGCATGTTCTACTAGCTGAGCCAGCCAGGTGCCCCCCCCAAATTGGCTTATCTTAATCCATCTTATTTGACTTATGTTTACTGGTTTTGGTTTATGAAAATTTACAGGTTAAACTTAGTAAGCAATAATACATTTTATAAAAATTAATCTACTATTACAAAATAGGGAAAATAAATTCCAAGGTGTTATTCTTCTTTTATGATCATGATGGCAACCCTGAAATTAATGTGGCCAGAATACAGTTTTGTTTGGAAATTATTCAATTTCATCAGTCCATTTAATTTTCTATTTGGGAGGTAATGTGCAGAGTGGCTAAGAACAAAGCCTTTGCCTGAATTTGAATTCTAACTCCAATTACCAGGTATGTGACCTTGGGCTAATCAGTCACCTTCTGTGTGACTCCAGTTCATTTGTAAATTTGGATATTCTGATTCCATTTGGAGGATTAGATGAGAGGATTCATATAAAACACGACAGTAGTGCCTGACAGTAAAAAATCATTATTGCTAATCACAAATGTTAGATGAGAAATGTGTTATTTTTTTAAGTAAGCTCTATGCCCAACATGGGGCTTGAACTTAAGACCCCCAAGATCAAGAGTTGCATGCTCTTTGGACTGAGCCAGCTAGGCACCCCAGAAATGTGTTTTGTTGTTGTTTTCTTTTTAAGATTTATTTATTTGAGAAAGAGAGAGAGGGCATGAGCAGGAGGGGCAGAGGGAGGCGGGAGAGAGCAGACTCCATGCTGAGCCCAGAGCCAGATGCAGGGCTTGATCCCACAACCCTGAGATCATGAGCTGGGCCAAAACCAAGAGTCGGATGCTCAACTGACTGTCCACCCAGGCACCCGTCTCTTGTTTTAGATAGTATGCCTCATAAGTAGAAATACGTAAGGTTCAGGTGCCCTTTTTAAAAATTACACTGAAAGGAGGGATTATTAAATATATCTAATCTTAGTCAAGTGCAAAAGGAATTTTCCTTTTAAGTTTTTGTTTCAATAACTCTGCAGTGTTCACTTTGCCTTCTTAGTTTAATTAAACATGAACACTTCAAAATCCTATGTTTCAGTTCCAATTACCAATCTCAGCAGACTAACACAATATGTTAGCAGACTAACATAATTACCTGTCATTAACAACCACCTTGCTGGGATGCCTTTTAAGGTAAGGCAGTTTGCACAGAACTTCAGTTGGGCAGAATATAAGGGTGAATTTGTATTGAGAATATCCATAGTAGTGATGAATCTAAATGACAAGTTACCAATACTACCTCACCAACTTTTTAATGCACATTAAACATATTTGTCCTAATCTTGTGTCTTCTGAAAAGCCATTAGAAAGTAAAGCATCAATTAGGCAATAGCTATACTATTAACAGAGATTTTGTTTCTGCTATCGTGCATCTTCCCGCTAAATTTAAATATACTGAGTGGAGATAGCTTTTTATTGTGGTTCTGGTATCACAGTTAAATCAGAACAGAAACAAAGAGAACTACCCAGCAAAGGAATGCATTTCAATAACTTTATTGAAAGATAATATCCCTTAGTACCAAAACATAATGGTAGTTGGTTAGACTACCTCTGCCAACTCAGAATTAACACTGATGTAGTCAAATTATTGAAATATATCAGCCTTTTGGGAAAACTGAAGTTATCCATAGAACACAGTTCACAAAAGTATAAGATATATTGTGGTTCTTTGGTTTATTTTCCAGTGCACATTTACTGATAACATGATGTCAAAATTGGGTACAGCCATTATGGATGGACTCAGGCTACTTGCTGCACTGAGTAACTGTTTACAACATTTCTAATGCCGTAGATCTCCTTATAGTCACTGACTTAATAGAAGATCTCGAATACTACCTTAACAACTTTATAATTATGAAGATGCCTACTTACTTTTTTAGACTTTCTTTTGGCACAGGAGGGGCAATTAGTGAAAGTACATTCTCTTCCTTTAAGAATTCTAAATTAGAAGCAATAGCAGTTTTTATAAAAACTGCTTAGTAAAAACAGCCCTTAGTAAAAACTTCTGGAGTGTTAAATCAGCAAGTTTTTGGAGCGAAGTTATTTTGAATTAATACAATAAAAACAAATTTTCTTGATGGGATTAGATGGAGGCAGTAGATACTGTGTAAATTTCATCATGGATATAAACATCACCGGCTTTTTAGAAAAAATATTAAAGATAACTTAATATGCCAAAATGACTAGGCGTGTAGTTTTCCTTTTATAAAATGCCTTCAAATTTAAGTGTAATTCCCAAGTATCAATAAAGTCCAATCTCTGGATTATCTATTACTTGCACTATAGATACCAAGAAACCATTTTCACTGCCTAATAGTGACCCTTCTTGTTATGCCTTAAAAGTGCATTTGTGAAATATTGGTTTTGATGTATACCTCCTAATTTAGAATTTAATTAGGTTACCACTTTTAAGAAGACCTAAATACAATATACTGACCCAATATAGAAGGTTGGGTCAATGTTAGAGACAAAGATTCACAGTTTACCTTCCCAGGCTTGTTATTAACATTTCACATTTATGCTCTTAGCTTTGATTCGTATGCCTCACAGATGAATTCAAATTTAATTGAATTCCACTACAGCTTGTTAATTAGGTAGTTTTCCCAAATCTGAGAACATCAATGCTAATCTAGTTGTGATGTTCTGAGGCTTCACAGCTTAAATCCATTATAACATTATGGAATCCATAGCTCCGGATTGTGGAGAAAGGCTTCAGAGAAGAGCTTTTTGTTGCTGTAACAATCCTATTTAAACAAACAAAAAAATCAAGTTATTAGAATTCTGCCAAACATAGATATTATCAGCTGTTAAAAATGAACTGTTTAATCA